ACACCGTTCAGGGTGGGGATCCCCACTGGGGTGTCTGGCCAGTCTGGGTGAGGGGCTGAGGGCTGTTTTCAGGCTGGCGGGTGACAGAAGCTCCCAACTGCTCCTTTTTTTCTTTTCTTTTCTTTTTTTTTATTCTGGGCCAGCTTTAGCTTTGAGGCTTGGCTCCAGCTCTTAGGCCTCCATGGCTGAAAGTAGGTTTCTGGCCTTTGCGTACAATGTTGTGAATCTGCTGGCTGAAGTCCAGCGGTATTTGTTACAATGCTCAAACTGCAGGCTCAGAGGCCTGCAGAGGCAAGCGGGGAACACTGGAGTCCTCCGTCACTGAAGCAAGCAAGCCTCATGTTAGTTTCAAGCTGCCTGGCTGCCGGCTGCCATCTTGGCTGACAGTTAATTTGCATATCTCGCTGATTAGCCAATGGGAAGGGTAGCGGTCGTACGCCAATTACCATGTTTCTCTTTTATTAGTGTAGATACGGCAACCTTATAAGGCCTCTGGTATGAGCCGATCACTCAGTTAAGAGCTTTATTATTTTTCTTTAAGGAATGAGCTAAATACACAATCAAGCCACTTTGTTTTTTATCTTTGAGTCATTAATTTAACAAGTATTTATTGAAACTTCTTTGTAACCATGTAATGTACTAGAACTGTGCTAATACAGTATCCCACTACCACATATGGCTACTTAAGTTTAGAGTAATTTAAACTAATTATAATTTAAAACCCAGTTCCTCAGTCACACTATCTAGTAAATTTTAATCGTTCAACAACCACAGTGGCTAGTGGCTACAGTATTACACAACTCCAATGCAGAACATTTCTGTTACCATGGAATGTTCTATTGGACAACACTGTCCTCGATACATGAAATACAATGATTAAAACATGAGAATCCCTGCCATCATGGAGATGACATTTTAGTGGGATGATACATTATAATGATAAATATAATAAATAATGTAGTATGTTTAAAAAGTATCCACAGTGAACTCTGATTAAGGATAATAGTAATAGCTAGCATTTATTGTATGGTTACTAACCATCAGAAATGTAACTTACATAAATGATCATGAAGGTACAATTATTACCCCCATTTTAAAGTGAGAAAATTGAGACTTGGTGAGGCTAAGTAATTTGTTGAAATTGTACAAATTAATGGACTTTTGAAGTCGGAATTCAAATCTAAGCTTTTTGAATGCAGAGTCCATAATGTAGGAACATTGAATGTTCTCAACTAATAGTCTGTACTAGCTCTCCTCCAGGTTAATGTACCAGGAGTATCCCATCCAGCTCAAGTGAACAGATAACAGGTACACATGCGTCTATGCCAATCTCCGGACAACATGCTAGGAATGCAACACAAACTAGATTATCTCCATTGTAAATAGTGTACAAACTATTGGATAAGAAAAGCCCTCTGATGAGAGAGAGAGAGAGAGAGAGAGAGAGAGAGAGAGAGAGAGAGAGAGAGAGAGAGAAAGAAGAAGAAGAGGAAGAAGAAGGAGAAGAAGAAGAAGGAGAAGAAGAAGAGGAGGAGGAGGAAGGGAGGGGAGGGAAGGGGAGGGAAGGAAGGAAGGAAGGAAGGAAAGAAGGAAGGAAGGAAGGGATTATTGATCTTTTTTAGACCAATCAGCAAAAATCAGTTTTGCTGTGATTCTTAATTTTCTAATGAATATTTGCAAGATTATTAAACACTCTAAGTTTAGCCCTCCTCATTGGCAAAATGGCAACAAGAATATGAAGCTCAAAAGGTTGTCATAGGATGAAATGAATTAACATGTGTAAAGCATCCAAAACAGTATCTTAGAATACCTGCCACTTAAGTTTTCCCTCCCTTTCCCCAGCATGTTAAAAATTATGAATGACAATATGATATGGGTAGTAAAATCATGCTTGAAGACCAGAGCTTATAACAAAAACTTACAGGTATTTCAGCTGATTAACCAAAGAGAACAAAATCCCACTGGTTGTCACTCTGTCCACTAGTAGTTGCTAAAGACAGCTAATGAAAACTGGGTTTATATTTTCTGAACAAAAAAATCCCAGAAGTGTATGATCAGACAAAGGCCTTTTATTCTGTCTTGAGAATTTATTTTCAGAGTCTTACAAAGTTAAATAAATTAAAACAAAGGTAGGTATGTATTCAATAAGCCAACTCATCTTAGAAGAAAATGCTGAACCTGGCATGTACCTAAAAACATACAGGTCAGCACACCTCTGAGAACACTTTACATTGAACTTAGAGCTCCAGGTTTTGTGATGATGAGTTTGCACTCAAGTTACCACACTCTCTTGGAGGCTGCTATGTTCATATTGGCACTTGCACTGTGGATTGTAAGGGAAAATGATCCATAAACCACAAGCACTTAGTGGAAATGGATGAAGGTCAATGGTCCCCATCCTGGTGTGGAAGCCTATGTGCTCAGAGCATTTGTCAGAGCCAAGCACGATGACCCTAAAACATTTCTGACGGGGGTTATACCACAGAAGCAGTTTTAATGGTATTTTCACAGTCATCCAGTCAATGAAAGAGAGGGGGATAATACTCTTCATATGACACACAACTCACAGGTAAACTTCCCGTTTCCCCAAATTAGTTTTACATTTCTTTTTTCTTTTTTGGTTTCTGATGCAAAAGAGTGATTTCCTTTGATACCATTCAGGGTGGCCGTGACCTTTCAGGGATTCGGGGGGAAGAAAACCCTCTGTGATCACTCAGGGCTCGGAAGGCCTCTAGGCTTTGGAAGGACGTCTTATGATCCCTTTCAGGGAACTATTCAGATGAAGGGCAAAGTCATGGGTTATTCAATAATCTACTTGTCCAGAAGAAGGCCGCCCTCCAAAAGGAAGAGTTTACATTTCAAATATGTGGCAAAAGGTAATTTTCAAGACTGTGCATAAGAGCAATACACATCGGTTTAACACATTCATAGGAATTCCAAAAAGAAAATGTGTTTATGTTTGAGTTTGTGAGTGTGTGTGTGTGTGCGCACGCATGTGTGATGAGAAACAAGAAATAAAAAAGTTTGTTTCTATAAAAAAAAAGACCTTTGTTTATCGGGGTCACTGGGCCAACAGGCTTGGGACGTTTGTATTTTTGGCATTTCAGCAAGAGGTCACATTCAGACCAGGGCATTTCTGGCGCACATTTTATCCTGCCTATCCTGTCAGCTGACAGCCCTCTCTGCTGTTTCTTATTAAAAGAATGAGAACCATGTGATTTCTAGTGAGTGCCTACATATGGGAAAAGTAGAGACCTGATGAGTTTATCACAGGTAATTTACTGTTAAAACAAACAAAAAAAGGCCATAGTTAAAAAATCACCCTTGTCTGGTAAGTGTGGCCCAGTACTTGAGCATTAACCATGCACCAAGAGGTGACGGGTTCAATTTCCGGTCAGGGCACAGATCCGGGTTGCAGGCTCAATCCCCAGTGTGGGGCATGCAGGACGCAGCCAATAGACAATTCTCTCTCATAATTGATGTTTCTATCTCTCTTCCTTCCTCTCTGAAATCAGTAAAAATATTTTTTAAATAATAGAAAATATAAAGATAAAAACAGGTTTCAAACAGTTGCCACGCAGCAGAAGAAATCACCTGCGGGGTGTATAGCCAAAGGAAATGAAACCACTACCTTGAAGAGATATCTGCACACCCATCAAAAGATGAATGGATAAAGAAGGTGGAGTGTGTACACACACACACACACACACACACACACACACACCAGAATAGAGAGTATTATGCTAGGAAAATAAGTCAGACAGAGAAGGAAAAATGCTGTATGATCTCTTATATGGTGAACCTGAAAAGCCAAACTCATAGAAACAGGGACTAGAATGGTGTTTGCTGGGTGCTGAAGGTGGGGAAATAGGGAGATGTTGGTCAAATGGTATAAACTTCCAGTTATAAGATGAATAAGTTCTGGGGATCTAATGTACAGCATGGTGACTATAGTTAACACTACTGTATTATAAACTTGAAAATTGATAACAGGGTAAATCTTAAATACTCTCACCGCACATACCAAAAAATGGTAAGTATGTGAGGTAATGGAGGTGTTAACTCTACTGTGGTAATCATTCCACAACATACAAGTATATCAAACCATCACATTATAGACCCTAAATTTATACAATGTTATATGTCAATTATATCTCAATAAAGCTGGAAAAAAAGGGAAATGATCACCTAGCTGGTATGGTTCAGTGGTTGAGCATCCACCTAGGGACCAAGAGGTCACAATTGGAGTCCCAGTTGGGGCACAGGCACGGGTTGCAGGCTCACCGGGACCATGCAGGAGGCAGCTGATAGATGATGTTTCTCTCAATGTGTCTATCTCTCCCTCTCTCCT